ACTAATTTGGGGTGTGCAGCAAACTTAGTCATTGGAGTCATTAACAAGGGCGGTGGGCTTCAACTCCAACGCAAGGACGTCCGCCTCTCCTACCACCGTCAGCCCAATCCTCGTCTATGCCTGCCCCGACGACACGCCCGAATACCCCAAAACCAAAGTCCTATCCAATGCTGCTCCCAACGACACACCTGGCGACTTTGCCGATCGCAAACGACTCGTCACGGCAATAAATTTCGGACCAACAAGCGAGCAAACCTTGGGCGTGCAGCGAGTCTGCGTTGGGGCTACCTGTGGCTTCGTTTTCCGATCTCCTTTTCATTCACTACTGCAGCTGCCATCCCACTCGAGTAAAGCCTATAGAGTTTAAACGCCATAGGAATTTAGGGGTGGGACTTCATTGAAGTTTGGTATAGTCATTAAGTCTTTAAACCAGTTGTTGAGTCTTTCACGATTGGACTTCGTTCAAAACTATTTGAGAGAGAAACTGCGGAAGACACATCGAAACATATGAGACACTGTGAGAAGAATAAGTTACCTTGAAAAAAGTCAGTTATGTTTATTTGACTCAAATCTGTATGGATTCCGAAGTGATCGCGTAACTGATCAATATACGTCACGGCTGACAAATGGCCAAGTATTCAACAACTCCAAGTGCAAGCTGTATTACTTTAGCTAAAACGAAGACGCCCTGCACGATTGTGGTCCAATGCAAGTCGTTCTTGGCGATTCAATCGATATCGCCGTTGAGACTCCGCACGTTTGCGTTTCTTCTCAGTTGCCATTCTTTCGTAGCGCGCCATGACATACGCGTAGAACGTCTCGTCTTCGCTGCGGAGGGGCATAAGAGACAAATGGAAGTTCGTCAATGAAAAAGCCGTTCGTTGGATGACATAGTAGTTCTTCTCCGACCATGAGAACGTAGCATACGAAATCTTCCACAACGCACACACACGCCCAAAGAAATTCTCGACCACCACGCGATCCGACGAAATCCGCTCGTTCCGCTCCAAGTCGTCAGCATCCAACATGCCATTCGCTGGACGCCGCTTTGGGTGGATTCTACGCAGGACGTGCCCGATGCCAATGTATGTCATGTCCACCAAGCAGACCCAACTCTCAGGATACTGAGTGGACAATTCCCCATCGTCAGGACGCAACGACTCGTCCGGAGTCTTCTCGGGCATGGCCTTGTGGATTGCTTGTTGCGAGTGGAGAATCGTGAAGTCGTGGACCGACCCAGGAAGCGAGCAGGACATGGCGACACAACGACCATCAGGTGAGACTGCAGCTTCGATCTTGTATCCATAGAGCCCCTGCTTGCCACTGAAATAGCGCTTCTGCTCGGCAAAACGGCCCATTGGACGAAGTGACGGTTGGAACTTCACATCGACCGCATACGACGCGTATTGGTAGTTGGAGAAACGATGTCCTGACTGGACAAGGCTCGACATTGATTGGCACACAATGAAACGCTCGTAGAGAACCGGTTCAACCACCTATGCGAGTGCAATGAGATTACTCCATACGCAACCGTTGTCGTACAGCAAGCGCACGCATTACAAGGTTTTCGAACGTTGGGGGCTTGAAGCCAAAGTCGGCTGCATTCTTGTCCCATGAACTGTAGTGCTTGAGGACTGTCATGGCCATGAAGAAGCAGTCCTTCGGACTGGTCG